CTAAAGCAGAGGAGCTTTGCAGTACATCTCCCTATACAGAAATTGCACCCAAAAAGCCAAATGCCTGCTGTCAGTGGTTCTGTGCTTCATTGAAAATCATACTACCAAAACTAGGTGCTTGCTTCTACTGGTTTTCTCTGTTTGGACCAAAGAAAGTCTTTTCTCTTTGTGTATACAAATTTCTGTGACCGTGACCTGCCTGACAAAGTAACTGCAACTGTAACCCCCATGAGTGACAGCAGCTTGCAGACTATCAAACTCCAATCTACTTGGAAAATCCAGCATTATTCCATCTAAATCCAACATCTTTTGATTGCTCCTCAACAACACAGTTCACATTATTTTAGTTAACAGTTCAGTAGCAGAAGAAGCACCTTATCAGAGTGCCGTGTGTCAATCCTATTAAACAGTCTAATGGGATCCCTCAAATTATCACTGTTCATCCTAAAGTATTTAAAAGAGGTGTTAACAAGATTTGCGATGTCCAACATGGCAGAATAGGCACCAGATTAGCATTAGACAGTGGCAAGATGATCAGCTCATTGTCTTTGTCAGAAAATATCCTTGATGTTAAACATTAACTGTTTGTGGATAATGCCAGACATGTTGAACATTTAAATCATTTTCCATTTATATTTTAGATAAAAAGAACTATTTGGTGAGGAAATAAGAATTTATAAATATATTCAATTTTTGCACATTCATGCAGTTGGAAACAAAAATCAAAAAAATCAAAAGAATGCACAGGGAAACATTTACATTTAATCGTGTTCTTTTTTGATTATAAATAATGATAAGAATATTTCAAAAAAGTTATAATTACATTTTGTTGTTTATCTTAAAATTAGCTAGAGTCTACAAAAGACCATAGATGACTATCTCTAACACAAAGAGACTTTTTTTTAATACCTTGGAGGAGGTACCACTCTGCAAATACAGTACATGGCAAAACTACCACAGCTGGTATGAGGATTGACCTGCATTGTCATTGACTTTCTGTATCACATTGTAGCCAGGTGAGCTAACTAACAACATCCCTTCCACATCACCAGTTACATTGTTCCTGTAAACACCCCGCCTTTCCAAGGACAACTAGGGACTGGCAATATATGCGGGCCAGCCAGTGACACCCATGTCCCACAAGCCTCAGGTGAATTAAAAAAAGGCTTGTCCTACATTTCTCGATAAAGTAATGCATACGGAGGAAGCAGCTCTAGAATTTTTCAGCCTATATCATCAATGTAAAAAATTGAAACTGGATAATTAATTGAAATCAATTCAATGTAGGGAACAGACAGAAAAATGGGATTGAAGTAGCTAGTTCAATTTGAGGAGCTAGTGTGGATAGAATGCAGTGATTGATCTTCGTCTGTGCTCCCAGTACTGTGTTTCTATGAGATATAGTTTGCATGATTTCACTCCATGGTCATGACATGATTACATGCAATGAGATAAACTTGTATTAATGCAACATCTACCCCATCCCGCACAAAAATGAATATGAACAGTGAATAAGAACTCATCGTAGTCTGTGTCCTAAAACAGTTCACAGATTTATAAAGCAAAAAAATGAAGGTCATCTGTGAAATAACATTTGGTATTATCTGAAATGCCTGAACTGCACCAGCTGCTCCAAATATGACCTTTATCTGCCTTCTAGAAACGACTGTTCGTGGTAACTATGTTCTGGTGAAGGCAGCACACATTGCTATGTGTCAACATTGTTGCTAACTTTGAAACTCTGCCATGCTGAAGCTAAATTGAGCCCTCTGTTCTTCTAGTTCTGGGCCTTCAGCCCAATATAAAGGGAAATGATAGATGGCAATATGCCAACAATTTTAATAATCTTAAACAGTCAGCTCAGAACACTAATGCAGATGTGTGAAGAATTAGCAGATTTAAATAAGTTTCTTACAATCTAAGGTTTAGCTTCCAGTCTCCGAGGATTGAATTCCATCGTTGTCTGTACCCCAGTCAATTCTCTTTTCAGCACTTCAATAAAAAACTTTGGCTGTTTGCTTTTCAGGGGTAGGGAAATGATATGAGACAGGGGCTGTTGTCACTAAGTTCAGTTGGCTACAGTGTGATACAGAATGCCACCAACAATGCAGGTTTAATCCTCGTACCAGCTGTGGTAATTCACGAAGACCTATCTCCTCACCTTGCCCAACAATTGTAGAGTGGTGCCCTTCAAGCTAAAAGAAATTAATTACCTTTCTATTGGAGATAGATGCCTACTGTCTTTTGTGGACAATGACTATTTATAAGCAAATAACAAATGTAATTATGATTAGTGATGTATTTTATCATTGTGTTTCATTGTAACATGAATTAACAGAAGTACAGCAGGAGGATGTCAGGAATTTCTAAGCCAGAATCTCTGCCCAAGTAGTTCTACTATCATGGATAAGATCAACCATCAAAATGAGTCATCTAATCATTTGTCTAATTTCCTGTTATGGGGATCTTGGCTTGGCTCCTAACAACAACAGGTTCTACACCTCATAAGTGATTAACTGGCTTGAAATACATTGATACATTCTGCGGATGCGAAAAATGCTAAATAAATGCAGTCCTTTATTTTCTTTCAATTGTCATCTGTTGTGAAATGTTTCATTTCAAATAATTTTCAGAATAAATTTAACTTTAACCTTTATTCTTTAGCTTTGTTTTGTATGGGCACATTTGTTATTATGAGCACTGAGCGATCAGCACCTGCTGTTTGGTAAACTTAAACTTGCCCATTAAATTTTTATGGAATTTTGTGCAGTTGTTTGCCGGAAATTGATGAGGGTGTCCGGAACCTGTGTGAATAGAAAAGCAACTTTATATCTCCATAATCAATAAGATTAATGAATCCCTTACAAGCAATGCAAATCCGAACCAGGAATTGTGAGTTAGAGTGATGAAGTTAATATAAATCAGGTAGTGAGAGCAAAATAAAGGAGAGATAAAAAGAGGTGGAAACAAAAAATGATGAAACAAATTATTTTTTAAAACTTACATGTTAATTAAAAGTTGAAGGAGTGAGATTCCTCAAATATAAAAGTGAATCATCAGTCAGGATTTTCTGAAGAAGGGTCCCAACCCAAAATGTCAATTTTCCTGCTCCTCTGATGCTGCCTGACCTGCTGTGTTCCTCCAGCTCCACACTGTGTTATCTCTGACTCTTTGCATCTGCAATTCTGACTATCCTTATTAGTCAGGAAGGTTAGTTAGCAATGTCTAAGTCTGACCATGCCATTAAATTAACTTTCATCGTAGACAATTGTAATTTTCTGTTCAATACATTTAAATGGGGAATCAAATGATTTGATGTCATTTTTGCGTAGCTTGTGAATGTGCAGCACATTTCAGTCGGCATTTTTCCATTTAATTTACTCACTGATTTGTTTATGAATAGTGATGAGGCCAGCAGCATTGTTTGCCTTATAATCAAGTTCATAGCAAAATCTAAGATATTATCTATACATATAAGTAATTGTGGTAATAAGTATAAAATTCATATTATACATTCATTGCACAAAATTATTTCGACATAGTACAGAAGTTAAGATGAAAATGGTTTTACTGGATGGACAATTGCAATAGATGGCCTGGTCACACGAAAAGGAATTCTAAGCTCACATTCCCCAGTCTGATAACAGCATGCCTTGCATTCCTGGGCTATCAGATAGTTAAAGAAATTATCCTATTCCCCTTAAAACATTCTGAATTTTATTAACAATTGTCCAAGCATATTGAAACAGCAGTTTGTTTAAATTAATGTGAAACATTTTGAATGTTAATTTTGAAACTAAGTGAAATAACCAGTGTAGTTAGAAATATTTTTAAAGTAACATCATTGAGTCTGAATTTCTGAAAAACAAATTTTAAAAACATCACAAATAAACTTTCTGTAAAACCTACAATTTCTTCAGATATTTAGTTAAAATTTGAATCTGCAGTCCTTGAAAGCATTGTAGTGATTGATTAACTCATGGTCACTTCAAAATTAAAACAGTTCACATTCATTATCACAGCACCAGCCTAATACCATGTTAGAATACTAATTATTTTTGTTAGTTTATCTTAGCAGCAATAATATAAATGGAAATAGACCCAAGCGGATTTACATGATGAAGATTAGAGGGAAGCCAGATGATTGAGAAGCTTTTAAAAACCAGCAGAGGATAATTTAAAAAAGCAATATTGAGAGGTTGTGGCTGCCTTTTCTTACTCTGCAGTGGAATATTTTACCTTAGTCCTATCCTACCTGATTAGTTCCAGTTTTTTTTTATTTACATCACATATGTTGCTTGTTGAATCGTATGAAAAAAAACAAACGTTTCATGGATTCCAGCAAAATACAGGCTGAATAGGATAAACAATTATTCTGCTGCTAGTTACAAACACAGAATGACCTTATATGTCTTCCTCAGGGATTTATAATCTTTGTAGCACTTTATGTGGCAAAATTATATTCTGTCAAAATAGTGAGACAGAGTTTCTAAATTATATGTTGTGGATCATTTTGCTCGTGTGGATGGGAAGATATTTACATAGATTCATGCAGAAAACAGTGAAATAATGAACAAAGATTAGAAAACTGAATTAGTCAACAGAAATACCTGTCTATTTCTAAGGAATCAGTAATATTGTTTCATAATTAGTGTAACAAAAAAGGGTAGTGTTCAGATCTTAAATGTTAACCTAGAAGTTTTCTCTTTGTTTGAACTTTCCAGCTCAAAGATACTTCTTAATAAAAAAAGCTTACTTTTTACCAGTACAAAATATTTAGAATGTGTGCACAAAAATGACCAAGTGTTTCCTGATTTTAACTGAGGCCTCTGTGTCAGATGTTGAATAGTCACTAAAAATAACCTATGACAAGTTTTCAAGTGTCACAGCTAAATTTATTGTCCAGTCAGAGAATAGTTCCATGTGGTGTCCTATAATAAATACCTGCATCTGCCCATTTCATTCCTAGCTTTGTTTCTCAACTAAGAAAGAAGGCTGATTGCCATAAGGAAGGTAAGAATAGTTCAAACACTTATTACAAATGTGAATGAACGTTAGTAAGATATCAATCTATGCACTAGAAAAGAGAAACTTTTGGTAAATTAACGTATACATCTTACCACTTTGCACTGGTAATTAATGTACAACTAGTTATTACTATCACTCATTTGTGTTTTTTATTCAAATTAAATAGTAAAAATAATATGTTCTTAATGGTTATTTGCAAGGAAACTTTTCATGTTAGAATAGCTAATGTTGGACAACATTACCCACCTACCTCTCAAACATTAATATAAATAATGCACATTTTTAATGACAATTGAATTTTAACAACCAGAAAAATTATTTCAGAAAAAGCAGAAATTAATATCAAACCCAGAATTTAAGAGTGACTAATATGTATTAAAATTGATTCACTATGAAATAACCAACATAATTGTTGATTTTTTAAATGCAGCTCAGTTTATAAGGCTTAAAAATAATTCCATGAAGTGGCTGCAAAGTTGGAGGCAGTGAGCAAATTGCCTCTGAGCTATCATGTAAGATGGCATATTCACTGTGGCTCCTGCGCCTTTTTAGTCTGACCTGTTAGCCCAAGCAACTCAATTCCATTTGCATGTACATTGCTCATTTTATGGTTTCTTATGAAAAGTTTTTTATGAAAATTAGCTTTTAGCACTACTACCACAATTGTGGATAAATCCTACAAAATATGTAAACAGCAGCAATGGGAACATGGCTTTCAACTTCACTTCTGGCACAAAGTCTGCATGGAACACAAATATTTTGTTCACAAAGATTGGCAATGACTAAATTAAAAGGGAGGCGTAATGACATTTTTGGGTTGAAATGTTTACTATTATTGAATCAACATGCTTTTCTCCAAGTACTATCTCCCTCATGAATTGAATTTGCTCCACTCCACTCTATTAATGAAAAGAAGGGGTGTCTGCTTGAATAAAGACATTTTGGAACTGATAGGACTGAGGTTCTGTTGAGTATGATACACTTAAGGCACTTGGTGGCACATTCAGCTAAGATCATAGCTTTGGAAACAGTTGTTGAATCTAATGTATGTTGTTGTTTTGATCCATGTGTGACATTGACATTTCACAGTCTCTCACATTGCAAATAACAGCAATCACATTCTGGCTGGTGGTAGAAGACAATCTCGGATTTTTGACGTGACTAGTGTAATTTTAACCTAACTACCAGGCAGGAAGCCCTTGGTGTCATCTGGAATGCTTGTTTTACATATTGGTCAATATTATTCTCCACTGACTTCAACAGAGGGTTAAAATGGGAAGGGTATTAAAACAACCTGGCACCAATCCAGTTCTGAAGAAGGGTCACTGGACCCTAAATGTTAACTCTGCTTTCTCTCCACAGATGGTGCCAGACCTGCTAAGTTTTTTCCAGCAATTACTGGCTTGTTTCTAGTTTCCAGCATCCACAGTTCTTTGGGTTATTTTGCACCCAATCCTGTTTGTTTCAAAATGAGCAAACTAGGTTAAAATTGTCCCCCTTAGTGAGAGCCATTGTATCTTTGCCATCAATGCTGTTCCAACATCTTGAAACCCTGCTCTATTTCTTACGCTTTTAACTTTCAACTTAATTATCCAGTAATCAAACAGCCAGGTTCCTTCGAGGAGATGAGTAAAGGATAAACAATAAATATTTTAACTGGATGCAAGGTCTATGTAATCCATGCTGCTGTGGAGGTTTGATTGGGGAAGAGTCCATTTGAAGGTTTTCATAAAAATATTACCGAACTTCACAGACAGGATCAATCATTGGTTCATTAGGTCATAATCTTCATTAGAGAGAATGCTTAAGAGAAATAAAACAGAGATCAAAGGCAAAAATCTCCAGCAGCCTACAGTACAACCTTTATATCTCCATAAAAGGAAAGAAAGCAACCATCAGTTCTCCACTGTCAGAGCTGATGAAAACATGAATATGCCTTAGCGTTCCTGAAAAAGCTCTCCAACTTAAGAATGGTACAACCACAGTTTCTCACTCATGCCATTGTTTAAGGCAGTTCCAAAGGTTTCAGCCTGAAATGTTGACTTTCCCGCTCCTGGGATGCTGTCTGACTGGCTGTGCTTTTCTAGCTCCAAATTTATTGACCTCAAATGTTAGCCATCCCATAAAAGAATTTTAAAAATGCCTAGTTTTGACTGGAAATGGTTATGTTAACGTAAGGTACTGTTCAAACAGGAGACTACACATCTTCATGAACTCAGCAACTGCGAATGAACCACATATTTGGGTTTTGTGACAATTAGAACTTTTTAATTTTCAAAGTACAGACCAGTCCCCAAGTATAGGAAATTAGAGAAAGTGGTTCTTTGTCATGCTTTTTACATTCATGGTTACATGTTCCCAAGAATGAGTAATGTGCAGCCGGTCACATGAATACCATACTTGGAGAATCCGGCAGTGTTAGCAAAGATGTCACACAGTATTGAAGTGCCATCACATTTGACATGTAACTAGACACAAATCATAATCCAAGGTGTTTCTATGCAGCACTAGATTTACTCTAATGTTACCAAGTTTCCAAACTGCAGGATTTATGCAGCTCGGTATAAGGTTTTTGAGATTTGGTGGCTGGAACAATCAATATAACATTAAAGCACCTTAAAACTGCCAGAGATGAGTGCAAACAAAACCAAGGAGAGGTGGGAAAATCAAAAGTGGTATGTACAGGAATGAGAACTGAAAAAAAATGCAAGTAAATAAGAGAAAATAGCAAAATTCTGAAAAGAAAAGTTAATCTATCTCAGAAATGTTGCGCTGTTATATAATCTATGATAATAGTTAAGTATATGAAAATTTGACAAAGATCATAGCCAGAAAAGTTCTGAGTTGAAAAGAATGGAAAAAAGATGCCAACCATAGTTCAGTTTTCACAAATAGACAAGTAGGAAGAAGAACGGCATCAGCACAGAAACCAGAGAGATGTAGAAAAGCAATGAGCACAAGAATCACTGAAATAATCCTAAACTGGAAACTTTGTTATTATTCTTTGAAGTTATTAAATCTTTTTGCTACTGTGTACCTCACGTACACTTATTCATATGAAGTTTCAAAAACTGAATCTTTGGCCAAAATGTAGAAGGACAACATTTACGCAAATAAAAGTTTTCAGGGTTTGGAATCCATCCTCTCCTGTCATCCTGCAATCGCAGAGTGGCTTAACTAGAGGTTATTTCCATTATTATTGTTCGATTATTATTGAATTTTCCGTTTACATTGTGTGAAATCTTGGCCTTCTGTCACAAATCAAACTTCTTTTTCTTTGTAAACCTGGTACACCTTCAAAAACTGGCTTTGAAATATACAATGCCTAACATTCTTGCTTTTCTAGGGCAAAGGTTCAGATAGATCAATAACAAATGGAGAGTCCATTCTGGCAAATTTCATTGAGGTACTTTGCAAATTCATTTTCCAACTACTGTCACATACTAGATTTTCCCTCTGTATGCAAATTCATTCTTAGGAATCTACCTAAGTTGTGCAGAGAGCTTCCTCCAATCTCCAACATCCTTCTCTGATATCTTGAATTCTACAGCTACAACATAATTATTTGACTGCTCTGCAATCTCAATGAACTTAAGTTTGAACTGGGATGCGTATCTACTATTTCTTCTTGATGTCATATTGTCATATTAGAGGGTGGGATTCATGCACCAGAGACCTTGATAACATGTATTGATGTGTACAAACAGGAGGAACTGACAAGTAAACGTCAGTGATATGTAATTTTATGATTCTATGAATGAGTAGGTGCGCACCAGTGCAAGTTTGACTTTGGCAGAAAATGGCTGCTAAATAGAATGATTTTGGACTTTTTGCTGAAAATCAAGGATCTACTTATACACAAAACTGACCATTACTCAAGTATGTTTAGTATGTTTTTTTTACCCAATCCATTACATTACGAAGTGAAAAGTATACTTTAAGAATTACTGAATGACTTATTTTTCCACTTACCCTTCCATCAAATTGCTAAAAAGCATTATTCACGAACACGTCTCATTCATGTTTCAGGTCTAAAGCCATATAACTCCAAAATGTCTGATCAGTAAGTTTTGTCTTTTTCTTACATTGAACTGAGATTTATTTCTAAGATTTGTTACCTCAAAATCGTGTATTTAAAATCCTTAAGTTCAAGACTAGTGTCTGTGCTATTCCTTTAATGAGGAGATAATGCCTTTGATGAAGTGTTTGCTGATATTTGTTAATTTTATCCTGAAATACAAAAGTAGTAAGGGGAAAAGTTACATCATCTGTGTATGTTGTTTTACTGTCTAAATATCCTATGGTTCCTTTGCTGCTTCTTTATCTTAACGTTTAAAAATAAGCTGTCAAACTTGGCAGTCAATATGACCCCAGATCCTAGTGCTCATGCACTCCACTGAACTGATTATATCAGATAATTCATGGAAAGGATATTAAAATATTTCTGTGGTTCACACTCCTCCCCACCCCTTTTGATGTGTTGAGAGTCAAGGTCAAATTGGCAGAAAACAGCAACTGCTTAAGAGTTGCGGATTGTACTTTGTTCTCTGGCACTTTCTAAAAAAAAGTGAATGGTTTTAGAGGCCAAAAGCAAGAGGTGCATCAACTATTAGAAGAAATAGTTCACACAAAGAAAAATCTCTTTTTTTCCTCAGCCATCAGTGAAGATCATTTGAAATGAGTCTTGTTTTCCCATTGTATTGCTCATTGAAACTGGGCCTCAATGCCCCTTGTTCCTATAGTGCACTATATGCCACCTAAGCACATTGGTCATGTACAGAATATATCAGACATATACCAGTGATCTTGCCTGACGCACCACAATCTACTGTTTCTTGACAGTAGTGCCCTTTTAAGCCTTTGGCTTAATATAAAAAAAGTGAACTCAAATAGCCGACATGGGTCTGCACTTGAACAACTGTAGATAAGAAATTCACAACATCCATTTCTAAGTGAGTAATGACAATAAGAGAATATTACCAAGTTATTCCAACCAACTGTGAATGCATTGATTTCTCTTCCCTTAAAAGGTTAAACTTAAAACTGTGTAACAATTGGTTACTCCATCACAGTGTCCAAATTACAACACTGACAAGAAATAAATAAAGTTATCAACAGAAATATGGGAGAATATGATTGCTTTTAAATTTAAAATATCTTTGTAATGCTACTATTTTCTAATTGCTATGATTATCTGTCTGACACTATTTGTCTTTTTCTCTTTCTCATTTAGGGAAGAGGTAAGCATTTTAACAGACCTAGTATTTTGTCTCTTTGACAGTTATATTTCTGATTGTTCATATTTTATTGCTTATGATTTAAAATTTGTACCTGTGAGGTTGTTGACTTGCTTGCCGAACTGGTTTGTTTTCATTCAGACATTTTGTCACCATGCTAGGTAACATGATCAGTGAGACTACAAATCTTTGCAGAAGCCTTAAATTTGTACCTGTTTTGACAAGTTCACTAACACTAAAAAAAATTGATGTGGGCAGAGCGGTAGACATTTACTTAGACTTTAGTAATGCCTTTGATAAGGTTCCACATGGTAGACTAATGTGTAAACTTAGATCACTTGGGATTCAGGGTTAACTTGCCAATTGGATAAAAAAAAATAGCTTTACGATAGGAGACAAAGGGTGGTGGTGGTGGGTTGTTTTTCAGACTGGAGGCCTATGACCAGCGGTGTTCCACAGGGATCAAAACTGAGTCCACTTTTGTTTGTCATTTATATAAATGATTTAGATGAGATGGTTAGTAAGTTTGCAGCTAACACCAAAATTGATGTTATAATGGACAGAGGAATGGCAGATGGAATTTAATATGGATAAATGTGAGGTATTGCACTTTGGTAAAACAAACAACACGACTTATATAATTAATAGTAGGGCTCTGGGTAATGTTGTAGAACAGAAAATCCTAGGGATCAGGTACATAATTCTTTGAAATTTGCATCACAGGTAGACAGGGCGGTTAAAAAGACATATTTAGCATAAAAACCGAAATAACTGTGAATTCTGTAAATCAGAAACAAAGACAGAAGTTGCTGGAAAAGCTCAAAAGAGTTCTAAGGAAGGGTCACCAGACCCAAAGCATTAACTCTGGAAAAGCTCAGCAGGTCTGGCAGCATCTGTGAAGAAAAAATCAGAGTTAATGTTTTGGGTCCGGTGACCCTTCCTCAGAACTCTATTGAGCTTTACTAGCAACTTCTGCTTTTGTACATATTTAGCATGCTTGCCTTCATTTCTCAGAACTTTGAGTATAGGAGTTGGGATGTCATGTTGAGATTGTACAAGACCTTGGTGAGGCTTCTTCTGAACTACTCTGTGCAGTTCTGGCCACCCTGTTATAGGAAGGATATTATTAAACTGGAGAGAGTTCAGGAAAGATTTACTAAGACGTTGCTGGAAACAGAGGGTTTGAGTCATAAAAATAGGCTGGACAGGCTGGAACTTCTTTCACTGGAGCATAGGCAGTTGAGGGGTGACCTCATAGAGATTTATAAAATCAAGGGGGGGCACAGATAAGGTGAATAGCAAGAGTCTTTTCCCTAAGGTGGGAGAGTTCAAAACTAGGGACATATTTTTAAGGTGATAAAATTTAAAAAAGGACATGAGGGGCAATCTTTTTTACACAGAGTGTGGTTCGTGTGTGGAATGAACTGCCAGAGAAAGTGGTGAATGCAGATACAGTTACAAAGTTTAATTTGGATAAATAAATGAATAGGAAAGGTTTGGAGGGATAGGGGCCAAACGCAGGCAGGTGGGACTAGTTTAGTTTGGGAATATGGTCAGCGAGGACAGAGTTAGACCAAAGGGTCTGTTTCCATGCTGTATGAACCTATGACTCTATAATTAATTCCATAATATTTTAACAGTATGAAGAAGAAGTTATTGAGGAAACTGAAGAGACTGAAGAAGTAATTGAGCCTGATCCTGAGCCTGAGCCTGAGCCTGAGCCTGAACCACCGAAACCTGCACCTCCTCCTAGAGTTGCTCCAACTCCAAGAGCACAAACGACTCAAAATGCTAAAGTATGCAGTCAGCTTCTACATGCTTTCCCTCGCTAAGTTAATCATGTTATTTCCAATCATATTCTGTTTTGCTCCAATTTTTATTCTGCAGTGTTGAAAGGAATAAATTAATACATGTATCTGTTATGTAGGAGCCTGTACATTTCTTATGAATTCAGAAAAGTTCTACTTAGAACATTAGAATGGCATAAACTGAACATTTTTCCACTTGCCACATTAGAGAGGTCAGAGAAACAATCCTGCTCCGGTCAGTCCTGTTGGAACTGTGACATTATTTTCCTACTGTCCAGTGGTACAGGACCAAAATACACTGAATGAAGTTTGTTATCCAGGCTTCATCCCACGTGGAGTTGTCAGAACAGACTAATTTTCGAGTTAGAAAGTAACTACATATTTTTGACATTTTTCTTCATTTATAATGGCTTTGGCTTACACAATGCCTGTCTGCTTTTCTCTGAAGCAAATTGGCTTTCAGAGAACAAAATTTTGAGAACATATGAAAATGCAAGGGTATTCCCTGACATGCTGCAGGGCCTTCACTCCATTTCAGGCGTGTGATGCACTCACAGGTTCTCTGATCATATATTAGCCTGATGATAGGCTTGGTTTCCAGACAGATGAGAAATGTTGATCGTTCACCACTGTCTTCTCAAACACAATTAGGAAAGGAAAAAGAATGCTGGGTTTGCAAGAGATGCCCACATCCCACGTAATCATAGAAAAACCAGTCTGGAGCCCTAAACTGGGAAGGTTAAGGATTTGGGCAGGTGGAAGTTTGGAGGATGTGATAGTTGGGTAAGGAAGGAGTGTATACTTGAAAGATTGATTCTACAGTTTGGTAGTTTGTGTTTTTAATTGTATTTCCTTCAAGTATAGCTCATCATTGAAAATGTATCATCACATATCTTTAAAAATGTAAAGACTTAGCACCACTTATTGATAAATAACCAGCTCTTACTTGCTTTGTTGTCAATAACAGAGAAGTTGTAAGATCTCAGCATCACGCAAGCTCCATCTCAAGGTGAGATAAATTTGTGTTTCCCAGTCTGTTATTTGGACAATATTTTTAAAAGTTTGATTGTTATGTTATTATAACATTTTGAATGAATAATAATAATGTTTGTGCAGATTCTAATGCTGGGCAAAGCCAAGGAAGACCTAGAACGAGAAATAGCTGAACGAAATATAGAAAAGGAAAAATTCCTTGCAGAGCGTGTACCTCCACTCAACCTCAGTGGCCTTTCACTTACTGACTTGCAAGTAAGATTAATTTGGATTGTATTTTCATTTAAAGCAGAAACTTATTTGCAGCATTATTTGATTTGGCTTAATGTTGGTTGACTATGTGTTTTGCCTGGACCATCAAAAGTGCAATTATCTCAGCTTTGACGCAATTGGAGGAGTTTTGACTCCCAGGCAGAAAGCAGTGAAGCACTCAATTTGTCCAATTGGGAGTAGCAGTAGGACGCCCAGGTCATTTTAACAGCTGGGACTTATTAATATGCTACTGATAAGCCATCCAGTCAGATTGGGAGCCCAGAGACAGCTGTGTGTCTTTGGGATTTTAAATATTAAGTGGTGCAACAGTTGCCAAATCAGTAGGTTGGTAGATTTTGCAGGATTCATAGATCAAAGAGATGAGGGAGTGTTTGGGCAGAAACAGCCAAAGCTTTCTTTGTGGGATTCTGTACCTCCATACTGAACAAAGAGAGATTGTAAACTTAATAAAAACTGGAAGAACTGCAGATGCTGTAAATCAGGAACAAAAACAAAGTTGCTGGAAAAGCTTGGAGGTCTGGCAGCATCTGTGAAGGAAGAAACAGAGTTAATGTTTTGGGTTCTGAGGAAGAGTCACTGGACCCAAAATGTTAACTCTGGTTTTTTCCTTCACAGATGCTGCCAGACCTGCTGAGCTTTTCTAGCAAATTTGTTTTTGTTCCTGTGTTTGAAGTTGTAAACATAACTGATTTGAATATTACCATGTTTTACTGAGTGGACAATCCATGTTGAACTCTTTGCTTGGACAATCAAAATTACATTAGCTTTCTAAAGATGTCAAAGGGCCTTAATTTACAAATGTTGATGAGTTTTTTTTTGTCCAAGTTGGTTGAGCCACTTAACTGCTCAATTTGGCTACGTTAGAATGGCTTTGGAATGGGAAATGGGCAGGTCATTTTAATTTCAATTCCTTTGTGTGGAGTAAACTAAAGTTCATTCTATGATAGTTTGACAGAGGTGAGTCCATGAATTATGACATTTATTAGAATATTTATTTACTTTTGAGAAGGGTGTGGAACTAAATAGTTATGGAAAGAGACTGAGACAATTAATGGGTGGCCTAGAGATTGGATCAAGCTGATAATGAAGGATTGTGACAAAACAAATAGTGATGGATTGCTTCTACTGGTTGATAAGACAGTGATAAGAAGGCACAACTTTAAGATTATCATATAAGGGACAAATGTCCCTTCATAGCAGGAATGGTTAGAAAGCTGAAATCTGTGGTTTAACATTGGTTTGTAGCAGAAGACACATTTTCCCCCTAAGCTATTTTTAACTGAGGCAAGTCCATTCTGAGTTATACATTATTAATAAATACTCTAAAAGGCAATTGGACAATTTGTTAACAAACATAAATATTAAAGGTTACAGGATATGATAACAGAAGTGGGATTAGCTGATGTGTGTAGAAATACTGACCAGGACTAAATTGTTCTTGTTGCAGAATTTGTGCAAAGAGCTTCACCAAAAAATTGAGATTGTTGATGAAGAAAGGTATGATTTTGAGTTTAAAGCTGGGAAGAACAACTATGAGGTAATTGACAAAGTTGGTATATGTCAATCTCTGCATCCTTCAGCAATTATATTATGGAAACATCAGCTTTAATATTTAACACATGTTTTTGTGCCCACAGATTCATGATCTATCCTTGAAAATTCTTGACCTTAGAGGGAAGTTTAAGCGACCCACTTTGCGTAGGGTCCGTGTATCTGCTGATGCTATGTTGCGTGCCTTATTGGGTTCCAAGCACAAAGTATCAATGGATCTGCGAGCCAATCTGAAGTCAGTCAAAAAGGATGATGCAGAGAAGGTAATAATAACATTCTCATTCTTTTTCTGTCTTTCTAATTTGGCTATTTCTTAGGATTTAATTATATTTGAGATCTGCTTCAACTGTTTTATTCATGTTTGTAATGTAAATAGAGATGTTTAAAAACATTGCTTATTCTTAGATAATCATCTGACACAATTTCAGATAGCAATATGAAAGCATTGTTAAATAATATCATGATTATATTGGCAAGGTACTGTTACGGCCTCTCCGAAGGAGACAGACATAAACAGAAGAATGCTCAGTCGTAGGATTATCTCCAATTGCAGTTTTTGTCATCTCTGAATAGGGCAGGCAGTAAACAAGGAGGGGCTTTTTTTGCCAGTGTGGAGCTGTGGAGATTTTCTGAAGAAGAGTCCTGACCCGAAACGTTAACTTTCCTGCTCCTCTGATGCTGCCTGGCCTGCTGCGTTCCTCCAGCTCCACACTGTTATCTCTCTGACTCCAGCATCTGCAGTTCTTACCATCTCTGGGATTTTTTTGGTGAATTTCTAACACATCGAAGAAATAGACTAGATTTGGTTAATTAGTGGTTTGTCTTTTAATTCCTGCGGTGCTTTATTCAAAAGTTTCATATCCTTATTCAGTCTTGGTTGCTTTGATATTCAAATTTGTTCTTAATGAAACTGAATATCAAGTGACGAGTACATCAGGTGGTCAACATCATTGAACAGCATCATATGTTATGTTTCATGGTGTGTACGTCAGCATACCTTTTAAGAGACATGATTATGGTATCCTCAATGTATCAAATCATATGACCTGAGATTATAAAGGACTTATCCTCCATCTTACCTCAGATCAGTAAGAAGCATGAAATTCTATTGGAAATGTGCAACAACATAATAGCTTAATATTAGCCCTGATGCGTATGTGCTCAAGCTATGTTATGTTGGTACATAATAGTCCATTGCAATGTTTGTTGGATTCTTCTACATCACAATATCTACATCCAATTGAGAGAAAACTTTTCCTCTCCATAAATCAGAAATGAACTTACAGGATTAAAAAGCACTTAGATGGGTGAAAGCTTCTCGGGGAAAACCCCTGCCAACCAAGCACAATCCAAATCTTGCTACTCTAGAACCACACTTTGAAGCCTTTAAGTACACTAGACTCCTTTATAAATTTGAAGAGAACAATGTGAATACCTTTTTTTCATTTTTGAAAAGGTAGCAGGACAGTTACAATCCACAGAAGAATGTGGACCCTTCAGCAACAAGAACAGCTGAAGAGGAGAGCACAAGACCTGTACTTCCACACTAATCCCAAACATGTCCACTCTTTCTAAGATAAAGCTGTTATTCTGTGTGCTCATGAGCCTGTCTCTTAAGGGCATACTGACAACCTGACTGTAAGGCAATAACAGAACATCATACATGATGATTTTCTGCCTGTAAGGTTTTTTATTCAGGTTAAACCTTTCCTGTTAGCCTGATTGTAAATAGCTATCTTTATTCTGAATCTCTTCCATTTTCAAACTCCTAACAGGAGCGTAATGTCGAGGTGAGCGATTGGCGCAAGAATGTGGAAGCCAAGTCAGGCATGGAGGGCAGAAAGAAGATGTTTGATGCTGCTAATACCCAGTAAATGTTGCCAGGTTTGAAATCCATTAAATGTTATGAATTCAACATCAAGTGTAATTTTAGTTTCCTTCAGACCTGAGAATATTTATTGATTTTTGGATATTAATTTGTGTTCCAACAGGTAATCCAGGTGGGCTATTTCCACTTCTTTGAAAATCGAGAACGAATGTGTTTGCTGAGTGCTTTACTTTCAGCTCTGCAGTGTTTAGCATGCCACATGCTTGCATTATAAAATATTTTAATAAATTGTTTTAATGTTTACAATCGTCTCCTGAGATTCACATCCAGTTATTAGTCGTCTTGAACTTTGTGACAGTAACTAAAAGCACTGAATTATAAACTTCGATAAGGTATGTCAAAAATAATTTCCTGTCTTGTAACCAAGAATGTACAGTAAAATATTTACTCATAAGGTTATTGGCACTTTCATTTTTATTTCTTAAACATCAGCCATTTGGGTGTCAGTTATTTATTCCAATTCACTATTATCATTCATCGTTTTCACTTTCATCTCCCCAGCAGCCTTATTCCACCCAACCTTATAAGCTTCATCAGCCTCGCTGCCTCCAGCCTGGCAGTCTATTTCACTGCCTGTACTCCCATTAGCACTGCTTGGTACTCCTTCTATCACAGGCTGTTTCTGTGTCCACTGCTGATAGTGAGCCTATATTTTTGTTGGTCATCTGTGTGATTGAAAGACTCCAAAAAGTTTTAGAAAATTCAAGGTGAATTTGCCCACTTATCCCAGAATCAAATCCGTACACCAGGGTTCCAAATGCACGGAGTCAATGCGGGACTCTTCAGGGATATACCAGTGATGACCCAAAGAGGCCTTAAGAGCACAGGTTGAACATGGAGATGGCCACAGTGGGGTTGGTGAAGACCTGGGTGTGGCCAGTGCAAAGAACAGGGTGCCCATTGGGCATATGCTCTCAGGCCAGAGGTGGCCTCTTCCATGCCATTACATGGAAACAAGACCTCCATTTTCTGATGGCGAAGCAAACTGCATCACTAAACTATGGGGGCCACTCAGGCTCTAAGATACCTATCTAGGGTGCCAGTTGAGAACAGTTGATGTTATTCAGAAGGTAGGGGTGTGGTAGAGGGGATCAGGAGGTTCTATCAGCATCTACACACAGCCAAATTAATGCCGCTGGATTGCAGGAAATGAATACCTCTTTGGTTGCCCTTTAAGATGGCACCTAGACACTCAAACCCACAGAAGAACAACAAAGGTAATCAACTTTCTGCCAGTTAATGTGATATACAGGGGAGGCAATGGCCTAGTGGTATTATTGCTGGAATGTTAATCCAGAGACCAAAATAATGTTCTGGGGACCTGAGTTCAAATCCCACCATGGCAGAATTTGAATTCAATAAATATCTGGAATTAAGAATCTAATGATGACCGTGAATCCATTGCCAATTGTCAGAAAAATCCATCTGGTTCAGTAATGTCCTTTTAGGAAAGGAAACTGCCATCCTTACCTGGTCTGGCCTCTATGTGACTCCAGACCCACAGCAATGTGGTTGACTCTGAACTGCCCTCTGGGCAACTGGGGATGGGCAATAAGTGTTGCCTAGCCCATGACCCCCTCATCCCGCGAACAAATAAAGAAAAAAAACACCTTGTGTGCAAATATCAAATTGGCTAGACACGGCAAAATTGCATGTAGCCACATGTTGTGCCTATGATTAGAAGTCCTACACTTTTCCAGTCCCACCATCGAGACACTCTCACAACGAGTCTCAGGCCTCCAGATTGGAGGTATGTTATACTGTCCACCAATATGAAAGAATATTATACATTGCAATAAATTTCCAAGCCAACAAAATTTTCATAAGACATAATTATTGCTAAAGTTAGAGGCTAACATTTCTTTGGAAAAGAAACACATATTTTCTGTCGGGGAATATTCAGTGTTTTAGTACAATAATTGCTAAATTTTCCTGACTTTGATCAACATCCCAGACTGGATCCTACCTGATTTGCCAATTTTTTGCTCATAGATATCTTACTGAAAATGCAACTCCCAGCACAACTCTCCATTCAGATAGGGAGAGTAGACATAATATTCCATTATTATCCTATTTGTATCTAGGATCAATGTAGGAATAGTATGAACCTTCACTGGAGACAGTGTTTTTTTTGTGAGTAATTCAATCACAATTTGTTACTTCTGCCTTTGGTTCTCCCTCCTTTCCTGAAGTCAGTAACTAAAGCCGTGGTGTAGCTCGATGAATACCAGGAGTCTTCAAGGACCATGGTGGCCATTGCTCAATCATATGCCTCAAGTGATATAGGTGGGTTATTTAACAAGATCTGATTTGGTATTTAGCCATCATATAAATCAAAAGACCATATTATCAGTGAACAGTTGTCTGAGAGCAGAACTTTTATGATTTATTTATGCCATCTTTCATTTTGTTTCCCTCAAAGTATCAGCCTTTCTAAACCATTGCTTCACGACAATGCTGAAATTAATTTCCAAATATAGATGTAATGGGGAGGAGTATTCAACCTGTTTTCATCTTTCAAATCTGGCGATTTAATTATTGCAAGAAACCAAGAGATTCTCAATTCCCCATCTCAAGTGTTTGAGCAGGTATATGGCTTCCCATCATAATAGATGAGAATACACAAAGTGCTTTTGAAGCCCAATCTTCCACTTCTCCTCCTCTTGTTACTTCAGAATAGGTTTGGAATGTTCTAAATATAATTGTACCATTTTAGGTAGTAACTGAAAGAGTCCTGTTTATATCTCATACATTTGGTTTATTTTAGTCATAGCAGGTGTTTTACATTCAGCTGCACATGGCAGGAACTCATGCAATGTGTTTAGATATATCTGCCTGAAACTCTCGACAAGAATGCAAAACGTACGATGAAGAGTTTGTTGCAGAAAGAAATAATTGTTTTCATGTAGGAGCCATTTTATGACTGTAACACTTTTTGAAGAGAATTCGCTGAAAATACAGCTACAGAACTAAAACTCAGTAAAAAGCAGGGGTTCTGCTGCTGTCGAAGGGGTCTTCCACCAGAACTCTAATGGAAAATATGCAGGGCTCCTAGAAAGTTGACACTGAGTATCTAACATATCCAGAAGTTCCCTGGATATATTATAAGATGTGGAAGTATCATCTGCCCACACTCAATACAAGTCACCACTTATGAACTGTAACTTGTCTATTAGAGTCCTGAAGGAGGTTTTGCTGATGTTACTCTCAATATTCAAACATCAAGAAATAAAAATGCACAATATTCAGTTGTCTTCACATCCCCACGAAGCAGCCTTGGCAGACTGCCTTCCATATATAGCAATCCTGCAGACCCTCTGACCTAGCAGTGCAAAAAACTGAAATTTCCTAAATGATATTTCATTATCCTGGCATGGAATACAAAGGTCAAAATAAACCCTTTGTAAACCAGGAAAATGGTTAAGTCAGCAATTGTTTCAAATGCCAAATATGCAGCCGATTCAGTTTGAACTATGCACAACTTTTGCATTTCATCTGCAACGTAGATTTTATCCTGTTCGACATAGAATCAATTCATTACTTTTGAAATTCAGTCAATTGTGTTAAGTAGGCAAATACCACATCCAAATTGTACATAATAACAACAGAATTAATGAACAGATTATTCCACAATAAGTAGGTTATTTGTGGAAGGAATGTTTAACAGAACTCCCCAGTCTTCCAATAGTGCCATATCTGCTTAAGCAAGTAGACAGAACTTTATTGCAATATCATCTTTCAAAAGACAATGAGATAAATATCAACATGTTTGTTTCCGGGTGCTCAATAAGTATAGGACATAAAAATATAGCAGTGGTACAGTGCATCCACAATTTATATAGGCTTGGTCCTTCTGTTGCCTGTGTGAGGACCAACTCGGACAGATGCCTAAAACAGAGATTAGACCTCAAACATATTACTGAAGGAGCTGATTAATATTGCATGATGTCTCTGTAACACATTCCCAATGAATGGAATAAATGCCATTTTTACAACTGCAGGCAATCAAAATTTGATTTTCTAATATATAATTGTAACAGGACAATACAGGATAAACGTAGGAAGGATGTTCTTGAAGACCAGAACCAGAGGTCACGGTTTAAAGGCTATTTAAGACCGAGATGAGGAGAAAACCTCCCTAGAGAGTGGTGAGACTTGGAATTCTCTGCCACCGAAAGTGGTTGAGGCCAAAACACTGAATATTTTCAAGAAAGAGTTAGATATCATTCTTATAGCTAAAGGTATCGAGGAATATAATGAGAAGGCGCAAAAGGGTACTGATTTGGTTGATCAACCATGATTATATTGAATGGCGGAGCAGGCTCAAAGGGCTGAATGGCCTATTCCTCCTTTGTTGAACGTTTCCTGTCTTAATGGTCCAAGCTACCAGTCCTGCTGTCACTACTGCTGTCAGTTCACCCTGAAGATGTAAATGAGGTCTAGGACTTGGTTTTGAAGTGGCCAAATTTCCTATGACAGACCTGAGGCAATACCACAGTCTGGCCCGTACTAACCTTTACTCCGACAGCTCTGACAAATTCCTCAGTACTCCATTAAAGTGTAAGCTTGACATGTGTGGCTCAGGTCTGCAGTTTGGCTTCAACTCAAAGGGAAGAGTGTGACAAACTGAAATGTGGATTGCTGACAACTTATCAAAATTTGTTTTACTACTGTTTTAGTCTTGTTAAATTAACAACCAGCTTTTCCCATTCTGTTCACCTCCAGCATATTTCTGGATTTGTATCAATTAGGAATTCATAAATGTTGGTGGATATGTCTTCAGTTTAGATTTGTAGAAAAATCAGAATCTAAACCTCCCTGCACTGAGATAACTGTTTCACAGTCCAATAAATCCAGTCACAACTTCTAGGCACACTGTCTTTCTGGTTGATCTCCAATTCAAATAATTTATAGCTCATCATGTTTATCATCTGACTTTGCAGGTTTTTAAGCATACAGGTCTGTCTCCTATTTATTTCTAGTTAGATTATAATAATGTTTTACAAGGATAGGAGTATTTCTCATTACTTTCCTGTTAGGAGAGAGGTTTTGTTTGAGTTCCATCTCAGGAGCTGTCAGCTGTAGAAGATTCATTTATAATGTGTCCAATAATCAGTCCATAAATCCTTCCAACACACCCTGTGGCAGGCAGTAAAAGTGGAAGAACTTCCTGGTCAGCCATCCTCTAGATGGCAGT